CAAATACTGAAAGCATCCAAATGGCATCTCTTAGCTTTATAACAATAAAACGAGAGGTCCATGGAAGGGTGGGCAGCTCTGAAGGCATATTCTAGGGAATATGAATGTGGTTGTGTGTGCACCTTTTTATGTAATAGACAAGCTACAGGTTTGCTTCACTTAGTTTTTTTCTCGTCACATGTCTTTGGGGGTGGAGGGAGTGGGATGACTTTTTCTCCTAAAAGATACCATGACTAGCAGGATGACCTTTAAGATCCACATATCTTTTCTCCAGAACTCTTCCAGAGATCCTATTCCCAGAATGTAGCCAGGCTTCCCATAATGGAATTAAGTAACATTTTTAAAGCCCAACTAGATCTTATCAGAAGAGAGGAAAAGGAATTCAGTTTATCCTCGGGTGTTAATGACCCTGTAGATGTAATTTCTTTTATTTTATTCTGTTACCTAGAAAATCTATCACAGCCTTATATCAGATTGATTGTTCAATCTATAAAGAGCCTGCTTACAGCATGACTGTTAGTAACAGGGTTATTTTTAATGAGTGACCTTTCAGCACCTCAGATTTCTCACCAAACTCATCAGCCTAACAGTAGTCTAACATTAAGTGTATCTTCCTAGATGAGAAGTTTTATCTCCCTTCCCTTTATAGCTGCAGTGTAACCAAAAATAAAACTCATCCTGTGCTGTTCATACGAAAACTACCGCCATTGGCTTGGGTATGCCATGCCAAATAAAAAACTGCTGGAGGCACAGCTCATTCTATACATCAACATCTGACCAAGAAAGATCTTGTCGCCACTTCTAAAATCATGGGCAAAGTCACGCGAGCCCATTCCCTATGTAGTAATTTCCGCAGGGCAGAAAAAGCTGTCACCTGTATGAGCTTCCATTCTCGGTGGCACTCTTTTCCATTTTAGCATCTACAATGGAGGATCGCGATGAAAGAAACCGAGGGAAGCCACAGAGGTATTTGCTCTTACTTTTGAAGCTTTTGCTCTCAAGGCCAAATGTGAGTTGATCATCAGCCAGCTACAGTTTCATCTAACAAAAGGAGCTGCAGGAGATGAAACTCAGGATCTGTGGATGTTTCTCCACTTCAAGATTCCATTGCATAACATTAAGGACCAGAGTGACTTCAAAACTCAAGGTTAAATGGCCATGAAAAAACAAGCAAAATGGCAATGTTCAGCTGCTCTTTCCTGTTCTGGATCATCAGCCAGTGGAACTTGGCAGATTTTTATACCTTCCTTCTGAAATGGTCAATAATGTCAGACTGAGTCTGCTTTGGTGGGCTGAATGAACACGCAGCTTATCCGCCTGGCTTAGAGAATAATGTCAACGTCTCTTCCAGTGGGTCACTGCCTTAGCCTTCTACGCCCATTTCTCAACTCCACCCACGTCTAGCAAGGACGGGCTCTATCCATCTTCATTCTGTCTCTGTTTCCATAATTTGCTGAGTATTTGCACCCACCGCCAGGCCCTTAGCACAGTCCTTTGGCTCATCACAAACAACATGCCGACCTGCCTTAGCCTCTTTTCTCCTTTGTTCACAGCTTGAATTTTGTAGCTACCCAGTGTCTCCCAAACAAAAGCCCAAGGTGACATTTGAACTCTGGAAGGAAACACAGTCAAGTTCTGCCCTTCCTATGAGGAAGAGAGGCAGAAAGGTATCCTGGTCCTTTACCTTAGAACTCTACACGTCATAGAGGTTTATTTTCAAATTTGAGTCTGTCAACAGTAGTACCAACCTGACTTCAGTTACAGGAGAAATGACTATTACTGGTTATAAAGACCCTGGTGTGGAATGATAGAATGCTTTCTTTGCAACAAACACCTAGAGAAGAGAGAAAACAGACAATATGTTTGTAAACTTAGACCGCCACTTTTCTTCCTATGACATTTTGTTTGCTGGGAGCTTATAGCTTCTCTTAGGTGGGAGTAAAGAAGATGTTGCCCCTTTTTTTCTAGAAAGTCCTTCTCAGCCTGCTAGCAATCTAAATGCAGTGATCATACCCCATTAGCTTCATCATTGTAATTGTTGTTAATTGTTATAACTGGTTTTAGCTATTAGTGGTGTCATTATTGTTTTTAGGTCCTTGTCTGTTTTATGCTGAATATATTAGTGCTTTCTTTTGAATTACCAGGCTTTATTTAGTGCAGAGTTACTTTTTTTGGAGAGACATTGAGAAATGCTGGCATTAAGTTTTATTCTTTTGTTTTTCATTCCAAATGGACAGACTGGAAAATAATTAGATGGAATAATGTCCCCAAAATGAGCATGAGGATGTTGAATTAATTAAATGGTCAGACAAGCTGCACCACATTTCTGATCTCAGACTGCTGCTAATGTAACCTCAAGGAGCCTCGTCCGTGCCTTATAAGGAAATCCTCCTCAGGCTCCCCACCCTTCACTGATCTCAAGACATCAAAGCCCTCATGCATTCCCTCATTTATAGAATGACCTTGGTCAAGTTTAGGAGAAGCTGACCTGGCCCTGCAAACTTCCAGGCCCCCCCCAGGCCTTCCTGAGGCAAAGCAGCAGGAATGAAGCCCCTCCTCCTGGGCCTCTCATTTACCCACTCTTGGTCAGGTTTTTATAACACAACTAAAGCTTCTGGGAAGCCTTCCATGAGGTTAGCTTCCCCTATTATACACAGCACCTCAGTCACTTTTCTGAAGGCCTATCACAATCGCAACAAGTAAATACCTGTGCTAATTTCTCTTTTGTGTCCCTGTTCTCTCCCACCTGGACGCAAGTACATAGGACTGTGTGTGGCCAGTGCCAGGATTCCCAGCACGAAAGCACTCACCCCCGCACTTTGTAAGTGCACTGTATGTGTCTGTCAAATGCCAAGCTGAATGTAGTGAGGTCGCAGTAATAATATTCACATAAAGGTGAAAGTCACACATATGTCAAACAGGATGTCTGCACACACGCCTGTCTCTGGCCCAGCTACATGCCTCCTCACTGATTTCCCAGTACCAGAATACTCTGTTTGGGGAGCAACCCCATATCTAGCTCTTCATTCTGCTTATTTTTCAAAGCTGTGCTTTTTATGGGTGCTAGTTCTTACGATGATTCTGGATTCTGGGCTGCAGGTCTGCTGATCCCCTGAGCCGAAGTCGGACGCTTAACCGACTGAGCCACGCAGGCGACCCTGGTATTTTTTTTAATCTTGGCGACATATGACTCGTTTCTCCAGAATACCAATCCCTTAATTTTTTATTTTTGCATGGAAACCGTATCATCCATCTTGTATGCGAAATCAGTTACTTCTTTAATGTTCTATAGTGCTCTCATATACTTTTGTGCTGTTTCTTCTTACTCATGAGCTTAGAATTTACTTCCCCCACTCTGACATACCAGAATTCAAATTGCTCTGTAAAACTTATATTTAAAACAAAAGGAACTGTCCCCAAGCCATCTCCTCAAAAGTTTCATTTAGGGGCGCCTGGGTGGCGAAAGGCCTAAGTTGGGCCAGTCCTCAGCCAGGTCACGCATCTCGGCCCCGGGTGGAGTTTGAGCCCTCGCCGTCAGGCTCTGGGCTGATGGCTCAGAGCCTGGAGCCTGTTTCCCATTCTGTGGCTCCCTCTCCTCTCTGCCCTCCCGCCATGCTCTGTCTCTGTCCCAAAATAAATAAATACTTGAAAAAAAAAAAAAAAATTAAAAAAAAAAAAAGTTTCATTTAGTGGCATAACTGTGGGGAAAACCAGTCAGATAAGTGCCCCAACTCCCAGGGAGAGAAAGTATATGTGGACAAAAAAACCAAAGTCTTCAGCCCTCAAAATGTTGCTTATTATGCCCCATTCGTTGTGTGTGTGTGTGTGTGTGTGTGTGTGTGTGTGTGTGAGGGAGTTGAGGTGATGAAAAGGAGAGGAGCAACTGTAATTTTGCTCATTTTACTCCACGTATAAAATGGCTTAATATGATTCTGATGCTCATGCCTTCTTTCTAGAGGTCCAATTCCCATGTTAGCAGGTAGTATGAGATGAAACAGGTCAATGAGGGCAAGAAACAAGCCAATCATGTGGTGACGTTGACCATATAAACACTTGATCAGAGTTAGACAATAGCACTGACTTCGAACCCATTGTGTACCTGCAACAATTAATTAAAAGACCATTCCAACTGCCCTCAGGAGCTTACACTCTAATGAACAAGGCAGGCTAAATAACAACAGTAAAAAGATAACTACAAGCCCCAAGTTCTAGGAACATAAAATTACTTACATGACCAGGTTCTGCTACAGCTGAACAAAACTTGATACATTAAGGACTAATTAATCATGGAGGGTTTAAACACATGCTTAGCTACACACACACACACACACACACACTGTAAGTCTGGATGCTTACACTTACAAAGAGACAAGACATTTAGAAGAGAATTCTAGAAGGAGAGGAGAAAGAGCTTGAGGGAAAGGATTAAGATTTCAGTGACAGAGATATTTAGTGCCTGAATAATCCAGTGGATTGGAAGCGCCACAGGACGCCGGGGTAAGACCCCGCCAGTCTTACCCACTGCAGCAATCTCCAGTTCCTACCGTAGCACTTTGCATATAGTGACACTTAAAAATGTTTATGAATAAATAAATGAGGAGGGAAGGAGAAGGGCCAATTTTAAGATGGGAGATAACTATTAAAAAAAAAAAGAGGGGCACCTGGGTGGCTCAGTCAGTTAAACGTCCGACTTCGGCTCAGGTCATGATCTCACAGTCTGTGAGTTCGAGCCCCGCATCGGGCTCCGTGCTGACAGCTCAGAGCCTGGAGCCTGCTTCAGATTCTGTGTCTCCCTCTCTCTCTGCCCTTCCCCGATTTGTATTCTGTCTCTCTCTGTCTCTCAAAAATAAATAAAAATGTGAAAAAAAAACAATTAAAAAAAAGACCAATTAGTGCCTTGAAAAGAGCACGTTGAGCTCTGAAAAAGAAGACCCCCATTGGCATAAATAGTATAAGACTTGACCACTAATTGCTAATGCTGCTGGTGTTTATCCCCTCAGATGAAGAGCACGATCTGGAAGAGGATGAGACTGGGACTCCACATAAAGGAGGTATGAGAGCTTCGCAGATATATAGGCACTGGGTAGGATGCTCGGGCTTCACTAATTAAGAGGGTGCTGGTGTGTCGGCCTCAGAAGCCCCAAATAAGATGACTGGATAGGGAAATATCTCAACCTTAAAAGCAGCCACCCATTCACCTTAATTAATGTTCCCAGAGCAGCTAAGATTTATCCGACAGAGGGTAGGAAACCAAAGCAGATATTTATTTTTTTCCTATCAGTATTTCCTAAATCAGTACAGTGAAAATAGAATTGCCTCATCTCTAAGAGATCAGAGGATTGAGAATGGAAAGAATGGAAATGTCTCCTCTCTGAGAGGCCCGGAGATTGCGAGTTCAGAGGGGAATGGAAATGTGTCAGATCTGGAAAGTGAACATGGGGTGAAGGATAGAATTGCTTGGTGATGCTGACTTCTGATGGCCTGCTTTGATTCCAGGCACATTTGGAAATGAATATGTAACAGGTTTGTTGAATACAAAATCACATCTTATTCATCCCAGACTGTTAACCATGCTTTAGGCTGTTAGTGAGCCCATCTTTTCTTAAGGTCAGATGCCCCTCTAAAGCCTCCTTAAGTGGACCAAGGACCTATTCCGTCCTTGTCAGTAAAGAAATGTGAATCACAAAGGCCACCTCAAGGACATTCATCCCATCAGCAGAGCCTAAATCGTGGCTGATTTGGATACTAGCTGATTTTTTTCTTCTTAGAGATTCTATGAAAGTCTTAAGCCTAGGAGTTCTTTCCATCTTTCCCTCCCTGGTCCCTCTCCATTTCCCTGGCCCTTCCTTTTCCCATTCTCCTCTCTCTTCCTTTCTTGTGCCTTTTGTTTTCTTCATTACCCACTCAGCAAGGCCCCTTTCTCCTAAGGTTCGTGTTCTATGGGAAGTGAAGACGTAACAGGCTTAGTGAAGGACCTAACTTCATTTAAGTGCCCAACTTCTCCCAGGGAGAGAAAAGACAGTGAAGAGACGGCATCAGAAGTCATGTGCCAAAGCAGGAGAGAAAGAAAGAACTGGGGCAAGGGTGGTACGGGATTAGTGTGGCTCTCAGTAAGCGCTTCATAATAATTAACACGTATAATGAAGTCCCTTCTGAAACCTATTTTCTACTGTTTCCTACTTGCTGTGCAGAATTCCAACAGAAAATCTGTTTTCTGACCAATCTACGTTCCGTGCCTTTTCTCAATCAACTCCCATCATCAGTACAGGAAAAACAGCTAATGTGGACAGGCCAGGGTAGAAAACTGTAAGCTTCCTGTGCCCAACTTTATATTAAACTCCATTCAGGAAGCAGCAGTCTCTAGCAAAAGTCTAAAATTCAGTTTCAGGGGGCACCTGGATGGCTCAGTAGGTTGCGTGTCCAACTCTTGATTTCAGCTCAGGTCATGATCTCACGGTTCCTGAGATTGAGCCCTGCATCAGGCTCTGTGCTGATAGCATGGAGCCTACTTGGGATTCTCTCTCTCTCCCTCTCTCTTTGCCCTCCCCTGCTCACACACTCTCTCTCTCTCTCTTTCAAAAATAAATAAACATTTGAAATTCAATTTCAGACTCCTCCCTCATCCCATTTCCTCTTTCCACCTTTCTTTCTGAGGCTCTGTCTTGGGTGGGGGGATGGTGAGAGAAGGTTTATTTCTTAGCTGTTCCAATGGCTCTAATTCAAGTAGGTTTAAAAAAGAAAAAAAAAAAACAACCTTTTGTTCCTCATGCTTCCTGCCTCCAAAATAGGTGTTGTTGAAGTGTAGCGAGCTCTAAATATGCTTCCATGGTTTATGTTTATACTTCCCACCAGTTATAATGATTGGTGACTTAGTGATTAAAAAACAGAGGAGGACTTTTTGCTCTCTCTGCAGAATCTGAGGCAGGAATTTTTATTATTTGTGTTTACTTATTTATTTATTGAATTTATACAGTGCCTTTTCTCCAAAGGAGCTATAGAAATGGCGACAAATACGGAGCATCCAAATGGCATCTCTTAGCTTTATAACAATAAAACGTAGAGGTCCAAGGGAAGGGTGGGCAGCCCCCTGAAGGCATATTCTAGGGAATATGAAGGGAATTCTAGGACAGTGTGCACTCTTATGTAATAGACAAGCTACACAGGTTTGCTTCACTTAGTTTTTCTCAGGTGTCACATGTCTTTGGGGGGTGGGAGGGAGTGGGATGACTTTTCTCCTAAAAGATACCATGACTAGCAGGATGACCTTTAAGATCCACATACTTTTCTCCAGAACTCTTCCAGAGATCCTATTCCCAGAAACGCTGTGCTTTCCCATAATGGAATTGCTAACATTTTTAAAGCCCAACTAGATCTTATCAGAAGAGGAGGAAAAAAGGAATTCAGTTTATCCTCATTGGGTGTTAATGACCCTGTAGGATGTAATTTCTTTTATTTTATTCTGTTACCTAGAAAATCTATCACAGCCTTGTCGTATTGATTGTTCAATCTATAAAGAGCTCAGTTTACAGCATGACTGTTAGTAACAGGGTTATTTTAATGAGTGACTCTTCAGCACCTCAGATTCTCACTAAATTGCAACCCATCAGCCTAACAGTCTAACATTAAGTGTCTTCCGTGATGAGAGTTTATCTCCCTTCCCTATCATGAGAAGGCAGTGTGCAGGTAACCAAAAATAAAACTCATCCTGTGCTGTTCATACGAAAACTACCGGCCATTGGCTTGGGTATGCCATGCCAAATAAAAAACCAAGCTGGAGGCACAGCTCATTCTTAAGTACATCAAATATCTGACCAAGAAAGATCTTGAAACAGTTGTTTTCACTCTAAAATCATGGGCAAAGTCAGCCAAAAAAAGGAGCCCCTATGTAGTAATTTCCGCAGGGCAGAAAAGCGGTCACTCATGAGCTTCCATTTCCGAGGCACTTTTTCCATTTTAGCATCTACTAATGGAGTGATCGCATGAAAGAAACTGAGGGAAGCCACAGAGGTATTTGCAGCTCTTACTTTTTGAAGCTTGTTTCCCAAGGCCAAATGTGAGTTGATCATCAGCCAGCTACAGTTTTGGCCCAATAAAAGGAGCGTAGGAGATGAAACTCAGGATCTGTGGATGTTCTCCACTTCAAGATCCTACTTACAACATTAAGGACCAGAGTGACTTCAAAACTCAAGGTTAAATGGCCATGAAAACAAGCAAATGGCAATGTTCAGTTGCTCTTCCTGTTCTGGGATCATCGTCAGTGGAACTTGGCAGATTTTTTTATACCTTTCCTTCTGAAATGGTTAATACGGTGTCAGACTGAGTCTGCTTTGGTGGGCTGAATGAACACGGTGGGCTTATCCGGCCTGGCTTAGAGAATAGTCAAGTCTCTTCCAGTGGGTCACTGCCTTAGCCTTCTACGCCCATTTCTCACCTACCCACGGTCTAGCAAGGACGGGCTCTATCCATCTTCTCATTCTGTCTCTTGTTTCCATAATTTGCTGAGTATTTGCACCCACTGCCAGGCCTCAGTAGCACAGTCCTTTGGCTCATCAAGCAAATGTAAACAACATGCTGACCTGCCTTTAGCCTCTTTTCCTTGTTCACAGCTTGAATTCTGTAGCTACCCAGTGTCTCCCAAACAAAAGCCCAAGGTGACATTTGAACTCTGGAAGGAACACAGTCAAGTTCTGCCCTTCCTAAGGAGGAAGAGAGGCAGAAAGGTATCCTGGTCCTTTTACCTTAGAACTCTCCACGTCATAGAGGTTTATTTTCAAATTCTGAGTCTGTCAACAGTAGTACCAACCTGACTTCAGTTACAGGAGAAATGACTATTACTGGTTATAAAGAACTTGGTGTGGAATGACAAATGCTTTGCAACAAACACCTAGAGAAGAGAGAAAAACACAATATGTTTGTAAACTTAGACCGTCACTTTTCTTCCTATGACATTTTGTTTGCTGGGAGCTTAGCTTCTCTTAGGTGGAGTAAAGAAAATAAGATGCTGCCCCCCCCCCTTTTTTTCTCTAGAAAAAGTCCTTCTCAGCTCTGCTAGCAATTTAAATGCAGTGATCATACCCATTAGCTTCTCTATCATTGTAATTGTTGTTAATTGTTATAACTGTTTTAGTTATTAGTGGTGTCATTATTGCTTTAGGTCCTCTGTCTGTTTTATGCTGAATATATTAGTGCTTTGCTTTTGAATTACCAGGCTTTATTTAGTGCAGAGTTACGTTTTTTTGGAGAGACATTGAGAAATGCTGGCATTAAGCTTTATTCTTTTGTTTTTCATTCCAAATGGACAGACTGGAAAAAAAAATAATTAGATGGAATAATGTCCCCAAAATGAGCATGAGGATGCTTTGAATTAATTAAATGGTCAGAATGCTGCACCATTTCTGATCTCAGACTGCTGCTAGAGTAATGTAACCCTCAAGGAGCCTCGGTCCAGCCCACAGAGGAAATCCTCCCTCTCAGGCTCCCAATTCTTCACTGATCTCAAGACATCAAAGCCTCCTCATGCATTCCCTCATTTATAGAATGACCTGGTCAAGTTTAGGGAGAAGCTGGACTGGCCCTGCAAACTTCCAGGCCTCCCAGGCCTTCCTGAGGCAAAGCAGCAGGAATGAAGCCCTCCTCCGCCTTACCTCTACCCACTCTTGGTCAGGTTTTTATAACACAACCAAAGCTTCTGGGAAGCCTTCCATGAGGTTAGCTTCCCTATTATACACAGCACCCTCAGCTTCGCCTTGGAAGGCCTATCACAATCATAAATAAGTAAATATCTGTGCGACTCTTTGTGTCCCCGTGCCTCCCCACCTGGACGGCAGCCTAAGAGCAGGGACTCTGTGTGTGGCCAGTGCGGAATTCCCAGCATCGAGCACCGTCCCCGGCACTTTGTAAGTGCACTGTATGTGTCTGTCAAATGCCAAGGAAGGAATGTAGTGAGGTCGTGTGCACACATTCACATAAAGGTGAGTCACACATATGTCAAACAGGATGTCTGCACACACACGGCCCAGTCTCGTCCAGCTAAGGCGTTCCTCCTCACTGATTTCCCAGTACCAGAATACCTCTGTTTGGGGAGCAACTCCCCATATCTAGCTCTTCATTCTGCTTATTTTTCAAAGCTGTGCTTTTATGGTGCTAGTTCTGCCGATTCTGATTCTTGGGCTGGGTAAATTATCTGCTGGATCCCTGAGCTCTATCTTCTTTTAGCCTTTAGCTTCTGAAGAACCAGGGGCATTTTCTATATTTGTTCTTGGAAGGCTTTTGTTTTCCTCCTAGCTTCTTGCTTTCCATGTGCTTTTAGAATAGATCTTTTTCCAGGTATTCTTCCCTGGTGTCTTATGTGTCCAATATCGATGTTTACATATATACCCAAAAAGTACTCATAATGTTAAGAGTTATCCCATATCCAGGCACAGGAACAGTACCCCACAGTGACCATCTGCTAGGCCACAAAAAACCAAGACAACTTTGTTAGCCTTCTTACCATTCAGAAATGTCAAGTTGTGTTTTAAAAATCTATTTTTATAGGGGCAGCTGGGTGGCTCAGTCGGTTAAGCATCCAACTTTGGCTCAGGTCATGAACTCATGGTTTGTGGGTTCTAGCCCCAAGAAGGGCTCTGTGCTGACAGCTCAGAGCCTGGAGCCTGCTTCCGATTCTGTGTCTCCTTCTCTCTGCCCCTCCCTCACTCGCACTCTGGCTCTCTCTGTCTCTCAAAAATGAATAAAGTTTAAAAAAAATTGGGGTCGGGGACAGTGCCTGGGTGGCTCAGTCGGTTTAATCGTCTGACTTCAGCTCAGGTCATGATCTCGCAGTCTGTGAGTTCAAGCCCCGCATTGGGCTCTGTGCTGACAGCTCAGAGCCTGGAACCTGCTTCAGATTCTGTGTCTCCCTCTCTGTTCCTCCCCTGCTTGCACTCTGTCTCTCTCTCTCTCTCTCAAAAATAAAGATTAAAAAATTTTTTTAATAAAAATAAAAATGTATTCTTATAAAATCATTTTCTCTGTAATATATAAATGCATGAAGAATATTGATGTCAAAATACTTTTCATTTATAATTCTGTCCAAATCTTCAGGTGATTAATCACTCCATTATGACTAAAAAATACATTAATATATCCTCTGAGAAAACTATTTTCATTCTTCAGGAACTGATATTTCTCTATTATTCCATGCCCTGGTATCCCCCAAAACACATGCCTTGTCTTTCCAATAGTTAGCATTTTTCTCGCAGTGTATTTTTCTTCCAAACACGTTCTTAACTCTGGTTTCCAGTGTAGCTGTGCCCTCTGTCGTCTACTGCATATATAAACAATCATCTTTGTAAAGGGAAACATGCCTGATTTCTATATGGTTAACATTTTTACTTCTGTTTGCAATATCCGAGCCTTAATTACATAGCTCTGTCCCTCCTCGAGTTTTGCGCACTTTAAGGTTCCTACTAAAGTTCTTAGACATACAGGGATTTGGTTCTCCTGTGCCTTTGTTGTTTGAACTGCTGGTAAGTGAGGAATGAGCGTTTTAAGAAGCAAACATAGCCAGGGCCTCTGCCCACCCGCACCACCCACCTGCTTTCCTCCACCTGTCCTCATCCTCAGGGACCAGCACTATCCTTCCTCCCGGGAGAGTCAAAACAAATGAAGGGAAAGGTAGAAACTGGTGTTAATAGTGTGCCCAAAAGTCACTTGGGTTTTCATCAGAAGCCAGGACTCCTGACTGCCATCAATAAGAATCTCATTTTTGGTGGGTGTCTTGCTGACAGCGCTCACGCATAGCATCCTAAGGAACGGTAGCGCGGCCACATCATCCCTGGTCTGGTGGGCATTAGCTCTCCTGCCATTCAAATCCCCAGATCCTCTCCCACTTTGTGCTCTAGTGTTTAACCTTTCCGGGTAGAAGAAGATCAATACAGATTCTTCATTGCTAAGAATCAATGGCTGTCCTGTGGCATCACTGCCATCTAGTCTTGCTGAGAAGCCCAGTAAATCTCGCCAGCTGCTTCAAACGCTTGGTGTGTCGTCTTCAGTTGCTTTCATTTTTAATGCAGATCACTTTGGTTTCTGTCCCCCTGGGGGTTTGCAGATAAATCTTGGCAGACATGTTCAGGGTCTACAAATGAGATGCTGGAAAAGGGCCAGCCCACCCAGAATTTAGTTGCAATGGATGAGACACCCCTTGGTTCCACTTAAAGCCTGGGTTCTTCGTAACCGTATTTATTGGGGATTACCTCATATAGTACCTGGGTGGGAAGTGCCCAGGATGAAGTTTCCCGTGTAACAGAAGAGACCCACATGGGAGACTGTGATACAGATGCATGTGGGCTGACTCAGCCTCTCAGTAAACGGGCAAAAGTCGGAGATTTATCCCATTCTTTGAAATGCACATTGAAGAGAAGCACTGGCTAGTTTAGAGGCCCTGGATCAAAAAATATCTGGCAGGAAATCTCTGCACTGCTTATTTACAAACCAAGCAAAAACTTACCTGCCTGATTTTCTTTTATTAATAAATGAATGTATTTGTCATATTGTTGAATAGCATCTGACTAAGGGTGATCTGTAAATATTTAATGTTACTTAATGATCTCCTTTTCCCACAGTCCTTTGCTCATGCTGAGTGTTTGGCTGTATGTCATCCCAACCCCTCTGAATCTTAGGTTTCCTAGGGGCAATATCAGAACTCTGGTTTCCATTTGCAGCAAAAATGTGGACTCTATGGAAAAAGACAGAGTCCTTTTAACTTTGATTTCTCCTCTCTTTGATCAGTGGACTATACCAATTATTACCAGGGCCTATGGGATTGCCATGGTGACCAGCCAGATGAACTATCCTTCCAACGGGGTGACCTCATCTACATTCTGAGCAAGGTAAGGACATAGAGTGTGGGGCTTGGATCAAAAGTCGATTTTTTCATTCTTGATGATGTAGTCACCATAACTACAGAATCATTCCATGTCATACATTTCTCTCGTGTGTATTATACGTCTCCCTCACTCATAAATTCCCACTGATTTATAATTGTTAGGGAAAAGCTTAATTGAAAATTCAGGTTCAGGAACTAATTTTCAAATTTAAAAATGCAATAAAGTAGACATGACACTAAAACTATGCCAATCAAATGTATTCTTTTTAGGGTCTTATGGTGCTTAAAAGGTCATCATTATGTACATAATTTATTACTGTATTAATACTCTTGAAAACATTCTGGCTCCGTAAACCACATTTTTATGTCATTTACAGATAAAGAAGACTGCGGTATACTAATGATGAGTTCAGAGCTAGTTGGCTCAACTGGTGTGAGCAAGTGTTGATAAGGCCAAGATAGTGAATCCAACCCCACAAGGGCCAGCTAACTTTATTCTCTTCCTCAGTCATAAAGTTAACTAACCCCTAGCCCCAACTAACCCTCTCACAGATAGTGTTGTTGATCATAAAAGAATTAGGAAAAAGTAAAAGGATAGATTATCGCAGATCCATCACTAATGTGAAGAAGATTCAGCACTCACGGGCTACTGTTTGAGGGATCAGTAGCATCATCTTTATAAAGAAAGATTATACATATTCTATATACGTGAGCTAAGGAAATAGGTTCTGTCCCTGAAATAACTTCCTAAAAAGTTCTTTATGAGGTCGATCAAACACATTTTTGGAATAGACACACTTTGCTCTTTAATTAGTGTGTGGATTCTGTAAAGGCAAATTGAAAACCCATTGTATTTTTAACTCATCGTTTGCCACTTATCTTTATTCTATCAATGGCCAAGGGTTTGTCTCAATTTGAAATATACCATAAGGGCCTTAGGAAACAGACTGGGCTGACTTAACGTACCTTTGAGTGTTTCCAACCGGTCCCCTTAGAACGAGGACCAAATTCAGACCCCAACCTTTTGCAGAAGAGTAGGGAGCCTGCAAGCCCTGCTGACTGAGATCACAATCTTCTAGTGATTTCTTCCAGAGCCCTAATTCAGTGCTATCCTGGTGCCATTCTGGTGCAGCTCCAATACACCAAGAATAAATTGGAAGCAAAGAAGGGAGTGGACATTGGCCTGATTGGTATTTCAAATGCCCGAAAGCAAGGTTTGCCTTGTAATAGAATTTGTGTACATTACCACGCTGGCATTACAGGGGTAATCGAGTTATCCACTCAGGTGTGACCAGGCCTCTGTTTGCCCAGAGCCTGCAGGTGAACAAATTAACTGTTTACATTGTCTGAGGTGCCTGCAGCAGGAGGAGGGGGGAGAACAGAGCCAGACTGTCTGCTGGCCTTCTCTCTCGGTCATGATTATTTTGTTTGTTTTGCATGTCTTTTTTGCCTTTGTTAATGGCTTCTCACTGGGGGTCCCTCTCCTCCATTTAGAAGGGGCTGTGGGGTGACTTTCCCTGCAGTACAGAGCTGTCTGCAGTTACCACGGCTGTTGTATTTTTAAGAGATACCAAAGAACATGGAAAGCCTCCCCTACCTGTTTTTTTAACCAATCCCCCTCCCCCTCCTCCCTCACGGAAAGCTAATATATCAAAGTTTGATTCAGGGAGAATACGTCGCTGTTCTGGTTCTGTCTGGTTTCTTTCTCCATCTTTTGGACGGTTGTAAGTCTATTTTCATCCCTTACCATTGTTGTAGCACATTTCTCCCCCCAAAAGCCACACCAGCTGCCTCCCTTCTCCATGTTGTTAATCCCTGCATGTCAGAGGAGGAAATGAGAAGCTAGAAACTCAACTGGAGTTTCCCTCATAAAGCTTCATTCCACTTAACGTTGGCTTGGGGAACATTTCGGATTGGATTTACCTTTATTATATCACCTAACTCAATAACAGTCCTTGGACAGGAAGGAACCTTAAAAGGCCACCCAATCCATTCCCTTGCCTCTAAGAAGCACAACTGAAACAATTCAGACAGATAGGAAAGGAGATCCCTCTACCATTAGCTGTTTGTCTATTCAGACCTTCAATAACTCTTAACCTCCGCAATTTTCTTTTCTCATATGAATCCTAAATTCATTCCACTTTAACCCCAACCGGCTTGATTTGTTGGAATCAGTTATCCTCTGCAACCTGCCTCTCACACCTGGAGGAAAAGAACTGACTCAAGTCGAGGTTAGTCCAGAAAAATGGTATCCAGAAATCTACGTGTTACTTTTCTCTCTGACCGAAAAACCTTTGTTAAGGGAAGAAAGGCCTGCTGGTTTAGGAACCTGGAGAAGTCTATTTCCCCCCAAGAAACATAAGACAAGACACAACTGGGGCAGCTCAGCTTGCCTCAACCAGTTTCCTCACCTGTAAAATGAGGCAGTTGTGTTGGGTGACCTCTAAGTTTCCTTCCACCTCAAGCATTCCTGTTGTAAACATGATGAGACAGATCCCGCAAAACTGCTAAAGAAATCCCACACAAAAATGCATTTAGCTTTAATTATGTATTCAGATTAATCGAATTTAAAAATTTCAATTATAAGCTCTTTTGTTTTGGGCCCTCATAAATGCCTCTGGCTTTCCCCTCTCTCTTTCCATGATAAAACAAATATGTTGGGGCACCTGGGTGGCTCAGTAAGTTAAGCATCCAACTCTTGGTCTCGACTCAGGTCATGCTCTCACAGTTCCTGAGTTTGAGCCCCGCGTGGGACTCTGAGCCGGCAGCGCCGAGCCGGCTTGGGATCCTCTCTCTCCCTCCCTCTCTGCACCTCCCCTGCTTGCTCTCTCTCTCTCTCTCTCTCTCTCAAAATAAATAAATAAACTTAAAAAAAAAGATATATTAAAAAAAGAAAAGAAATACGGTGGGAGCAGGCTAAGAACAGGCAGTGGACCCTGGATGAGGAAGTGGGGTGGGGTGGGGGCTTTATTCCTGGGCATCTGCTATTGTTAGTAGTTGCCCAAACATGACCCAACCTTGAATCCTAGAACACTAGGGCCGGGAGAGACTGTTAGGGTCTTTAGGCAAGAATGATCCCAGAAAGAGAGCTATTTGTCCTTTTTAAAATAAAATTTCCAGGGGCGCCTGGGTGGCGCAGTCGGTTAAGCGTCCGACTTCAGCCAGGTCACGATCTCGCTGTCCGTGAGTTCGAGCCCCGCGTCGGGCTCTGGGCTGATGGCTCAGAGCCTGGAGCCTGTTTCCAATTCTGTGTCTCCCTCTCTCTCTGCCCCTCCCCCGTTCATGCTCTGTCTCTCTCTGTCCCAAAAATAAATAAACGTTGAATAAAATAAAATTTCCAGAGACGATGACTGGCTGGGCAAGAAAGATACCAAATACCCATCACCTGTCCTATTCTTAAGGAAGCTGGTCAGTAACAGATGAGTTACTTACATGACCCTGAGCAAAGTCACTCAATCCTGCTTATCTTCAGCTTTCTCGTCTGTAAAAATGGGAATAACTTCCGTTCATAGGGGTTCTGATGCTTGCCCTAGAGAGTGTGTGTAAAGAAGTACCTGGCATCTAGGAAAAGGCAACTATTATTACATTCATCTCTTTTCCGCTAACAATAAAGTAAACTGCTGGGGTCAATACGGGGTACATACTAGGCATTCAGTAAATTATTGGTGGAGTGAGGGAGGAAAACCAGGTAGCCTGTCCCACCGAGAACTCTTCACAGAGACACTCAAAAGCACAAAGGCTTCTTACTTGGAAGTAGAAAGCCATCTAGTGCAGAGGCCTACACGGAAATCCACATAGCCTTTCCTGGTCTGAGAGATTGTGTCACTGACAAAATCGATGGATTGTTCAGACTTCTCGTTGGATGAGAGGCCAGAGCCACATATCCAAGCTCTGAAACAGTAACCAACGGGGCGCAGGCAGCAGCCCTGCTGACCTCCCCTAACACAGCCATCCATTCCTAGGCCCCATGCAGTTTCGTGCCCACTTAATCCACCGAGTTCCAATTTGGGTCTTAAAATATATTGAAGGGAGATTTTAATAACGAAGCCTATCTGTGCATCCAGCGGATGTTCTCTGGGCCCGGATATATTCCGAACAGCTTTTTTTGGTCCAAGAACTGAGCTCCGTTTCCACCCGCTGCAGGGACGCAGCTCAGGCCACAGCGGGGTGTTTAGCGCTCTTCAGTGGCTCCAGATTGTGGCGCTTGTGCAGGTCTCCTCATACGTAACCGATGGCTCCGGAGAGCCTGCCTCTCGTAAATTACTTCCCACGATGCCTGCGACCACCGCAGAATTCAAGTTTGAATAGAGCAGGAAAAAGGTGTTTGAAAGGCCTGTTCACTCAGCTGCATTTTAATTTCCTTTTCAATCTTGTCCCAATTAATTTCACAGAATTAATCTCACAGAAGCAAACTCGGCAGCATTGAGGCTGCGGTTTTAGTGTGGCGGTCGCTCTGCCTGAACATGAAATAGGAGCTAATATAAAAATCCATCTGCTGTGTTTGAAATACACGCCGGCTGCTGCTCAGTCCTGTCTGACATTCCAAACATCAACAGCGGGGAAAAGTGATTTGGGGGTTAGTGGCCATCAGTACTTGGCAGGGGTTCAACAACAGGTGTACTCCAAAAATCCATTCAGCCTGGGCACCAGGCATGACAGGGCAGGTGCTGAATCACCCTCCGTGCAGTAACGCTGTGCCCTGGCTTAGTTCCTTTTATCTGCAGACCCTAAGACCCTTCTGTGGACCAGCACTGCTATGGGCATTTATTTTAAGTGGAAGAAAGGGAGGTACAAAGCCCCTACTTAGATAAGATGAGTCACAAGTCCCAACTTTCAGAGAAGTGACTCTTACTGGCTCCTAGGTCTCTCACTAGGGAAACCTTTTTCTTAAGGACTAAAGGTGCTTGTTCTGCTGTGCGGGAGAACTTCAGTAAACGCCCATTTAAAGATTAACCCACCTGGGGACTCCTGGCTGGCTCAGCCAGTGGAGCGAAGGACTCTTGA